CCTTCCAACCGACAATATTCCATCATTGACCGCCACGGGCGATCAACTGCATTTGAGAACCTAGCTGTGAGTCAACATAGCGGAGAAACGCAAAGCCGTCGCAACTGAAGGTATTAATCGACATTATCCAGATATGTAGCTGGACGCAAACGTTATGCAGTGTACTGCAGTATGTAGCTGCTTGCTGGCAGAATGTCGTCATTTCGGCGTGAAATGAGGTTAAACCACTCGATACTGACATCTATCATGCTTCTCGTTGAGCTAGTTTAACAAATATAGCTTCCTCGCCTCCCCGTACTTTTAGGCTAAGGCTATAGAGCTGTAAGCTTCTAATCGATAGCATTTGTTGCATAAAAGCGAAATTTAGAGGAGCAAGCACAAAGAATTTAGCAGATACTCTTTTTCGCCATTGAAACCAGAGCTCCTCTACATATGCTGTTGAAGGTGGGACCAGTACCAACCTTGATCCGCCACAGGGTTGGTACTGTAGTGCCAGGATGAGCGAATTTGTGGGTTCAAAAATCGGACCCTAAATTGGAATTGTTGAAAACGCTCTCGAAATTAAGGTCCCCGAGATTTGAGCGTCCACGCGCGTGCATGCATTCGCGCCCACGCCGGATCGCTACAAAGATATCATCTCCTATATCCGATAGCGGGTTAGTCAACTCATGGCCATACGGATGCCATTAGTGCAATACGGCAAAGATAAGGCTAATTACAGATACTGTAGTACATAGCACCTATTGTAGAGCTACGATAGAGCCGTGTACTTAAGCGCACAGATCCGGGCAACTGCAGCGTCTGTGCTACAGGTCAACAAAGGTAAATTGCAACGACTACTACCACACTAAAGTTTATCATGTGCTCATCGCCTTTTGGTTAGGAAAGTATAGAAACATCCATTCTTGTTCTGTCCGGAGCAATTTGACTAAGGCTGGACGTCAGCATGCAACATTGAAAAAGTGTAGCCAAGAAATTTAAGAGTTTTTCTCCCTGAATTAATTCAGCCATTCAAAAGAGAACCAGAAAAGACTTGTAATGTCAGTGCTCTCTTGCATTTGTCGGATCACGTTATGGCATAGATTGAATGTCTCACCAATAGGACATGCTCACCACTGATGTAATAAGGTGAGAAGACTCTCACAGTTCTTACGTTTGAGCTGATGAGGACATGACGTCATGATGAAGTCGCCGGGCACTGCAATTAGGGCACGTCAGGATTAGGATACGGAAGGATGTAGTTACACAACCTGCTACTGGCAATAATAGAATCGTACTTTTCTATATAAGCTGGATGTCAAGCTGGATGCCTTGATGAAAATAAAGCTACCTCTCAACACATCCGACTACCACTATGCAAGTAAAAGCGTGCGGATGAAACACCCTGGGCCTGATCACGTCCTTCTTTCAAAGCTGAATTGACCATCCGCTCTCAGATCGTACATTCTCTTCCTTCAGGGATGTCAGTTTGGTGCCGATGTGGACGTCGGCATGAAATGGCAACTCAGATCTAGAGTGTCCCCGCCCATGTCTGGAGGGTGTTTATGATAAAACCAGCTCTGCTCCTGGAGATATACGCTTTTTAGAGATGCAGATCAACGAGGGACGACAGTGCAGTGCTGGTGAAAGTGGTAGGGATGCATCAATGGGAATTCTCTGTTTGCCCGTGAACGTCGGGATTGAGATGAATATCAAGACGGCGCCCTATAGCGCTGTGAGCTATTGGTTCAATCGCATGCGCATGCAGTACGCTTGGTACCCTTGGTACTTGTTGCTATATCGTAGACGTCTACAGTACGTTATCCTCGCTCGGTCGGCAATAGTCCCCGGGAACTAACCGGTCCCCCTCTGCCTCCCAGTCTATCCTGGTCCTATGGCAGAGTCGTTTTATTTACCTCTACAGTACTTAGCGCCGGCCCATTACACTGCACCCCAGTGTGCGTGCATCGCGTCTGGTGCGTACATCAGTTTCCCGACGCATATGCGTAATCTCGACTCGGCGCGAGATTGGGTGATCAAACTTCAGGCGCTCGCGGTAATCATCCAATCACAGCTCGATCTGGTTGGCCATTACGTGGCATATCCCATATCTAAGCGCGCAATGAGCTCGCTTCGAATCGGCATTGCGTCTGGTTTGCTGTGTCTATGACGTAACAACGAGTCGGATGCAAGTACAGTATGAAGTTCATACTGTATTGCATGTGGTCGGTGAAATGGGGGAGGCGGTTTTGGGGAGCGTGCCGTTCCGTGGTGAGGGTCGGCCGAGTGTCCTCTCCACCCCTTTTTCCCCGCAGTGCCCGTCACCCTCTCTCTTTTATTTCTACAAAATTCCTTCCAGAAGCGTCCACGCGTCCGGCCCGGATTCCGCCGGGCCGTACGCGTGCGCTTCTCTAAAATTCAAATAAAATCTCGGACTACAATATAAAATCTCCCTCTACAGTAAAAATGCAATTTTCCCAACGATGTTGCTGACATTACCCTTCGAAGGCTACGGGGCCTCAGGCCCCGGCACGCAACGAGGCCTACACATCGTTGCCGACTACATTGCTACTCGCACTGGGAACTCCCCACTACATGAACGGTTGCGCCTCAGCACCATCCTTACTTCCCTCGTCCTCCAATATACGGCTTTATCGGTTAACAGACGTAGGATACGGCTTACACCAATTGCTTTACATACTGTACCCTAGGTTGGCCCTAATGCTCCTGCATAGGGCCGCCCCTGTACTTTCTCCATAAAGTCGACCATTCAACGGTAATGCCATTCTCTTTCGCCAGCCGGGCCACGCAGGGCATCTACCCTTCGAAGGGTAGTGTACCCGATCGATGTATGAAAACAGTCCATACCCACCTCGTGAATAAATTTGCATACCTTTGACCCGTTGCTGAGCAATCCCTGCGATTGATCTCCCAAAGAGTCCAGGCCTGCCCTACAGCACTGTGCCACACCGTATCTTGTAGGGGTGGCGATATTCGTTCTGTACAATACCGTACTGTTTCTATTTCTCTTGCATCTGCATCTCAGCTCTTCGCTATTTTCTAGGTGCGTAGCATACAGCGAGACAGATTTTTTATTGTGTGCGGACTTCAGCAATCGGCCAGTTCGCCCTTGATGACGACAGTATGGTACCGTTCTTAATAGCCTGCTGCATGGCCTTGATCGTGAACCAAGTTGAAGCAAGTTCCGAGGCATTGTCTTACGCGTAAGCTCGCTTCGAATCGGCATTGCGTCTGGTTTGCTGTGTGCATGACGTGACAATGAGTCGGAAGCAGGTATGAAGGTATTGTCTTGCATCCAAACTCCCTTCGACTCGGCGTTGCGTCTGGTTTGCTGTGTGTATGACGTGACAACGAGTCGGAAGCAGGTATGAAGTTATTGTCTTGCATCCAAACTCCCTTCGACTCGGCGTTGCGTCTTACATCCAAACTCCCTTCGATTCGGCGTTGCGTCTTGACTGGTGTGTTTGTAATGCAGACCCCGTGCTGAAACCCCCAAGAATGGGGTGTGCATATCGCGTATGAAAAAAAAAAGATTTACAACCAGGGAGAACGCGCCCAAGAATACAGTAGTGCCAATGCCATTATCTCTCGCGTACCGGACCACATAGCGGGTCTGGTGTGCCCATCTCCAGAGAATGTAAAACTCCAGGAGGACAGCGTGAGTATTGTTTGTGGGCTCGTGTGAGTAACAAAAACAAAAGGCTGCTTGCTATTCGAAGAAATCAGGCGATGAATTGATCTAGGCAGATCACGCAATATGGAAGCAGTGCAGTACTGCCGTGCCTATGCTGTAGGCTACAGCATAGGCACGGCAGTTTTAGGAAGTTGCATCCAAGCAACTTCCCAAAACGCGTATAAAACCGTTGCGCTAGAGAAGCGAAATCTCCCCACTCATCCCTCTTCCCTGCAACAGCAAATCATCTCCAACAGCAAACCGTTTCTCACTTCAGCAAATTCTTTCCCTCTGCACTATGAAGTTCTCTCTCGCCATCTGCCTCCTTGCCTGTCTTCTGGCCGTAGTTGCGGCTGTTCCGGCGAAGCCTCGCCTTCCCAAGCTTGGAGAGGCTACCCGCCAATACTTTGACCCTCGGCGCTGTAAGTGTTCAATCATCCAGGAAATGTTTTTGGGCGACAAGGGAAATCTGCAACTCACACCAGAAACTCTCGACTTTGTGCCCGCTGCCTCGTCTTGAATTTGTTTCACTTCTTGTTCTTTGCTTTCATTAGGTTTTGATCGCGCGCCCCCGGGATTAGAATTCTGCTGTTTTGAGGCAGTACCCCCGGGCTACCCTCCCTGCCAAGGCATATCGTTTTAGGTCTACTCTCGTCATCTCGGAAGTTGCCGCTGTTCTCTTCCTTTCTTAAGTTTCTTTGAAAAGCATTTAGTCACCCGACATTACGCAGCGCACGAACCAGAGAGATCTCGTAAACGAAATTAGAATTTGCGGCCGTTGTGCCCACTTCCCTTTCTGAGATTCATTCGTACACGCCACTCAGCGGAGTAGTGCTCTTCACGTATTGTCGTTCAGACTTGGTGCAACATGAACACATCGGCTAGTACAACATCTCTTGAGAAAGTTTATCAGTACACACATTTCCGTGTTTGCCACTAGTGCTGACTGAACAGTGCTTGTCGATGTGTATTATTCATCATTATGCAAATGCTTTCACGACTTCTAGTGTCCATCGGACCTTTAGTCCTCATATGAGGACAAAAGTTTTTTTTCTAGACAACGCAAAACCGCGATTTCACTTCTGTTTTTTGCAACCAGAAGGCCATCACTAATATGGAGGTGCACAAGCCCAAGATGGCCTCTGCATAGAATCGAACATTAGCTGCAGGCTCACAAGCACAGCATGAAAAGGTCTGTGCGGGAGCAGTGAAGCCACACCATCTGTGCAGTGTGGAAAAAAGCCGTGGCATAACACCTGTGCCATGGGTAGCGGCGCTTGCCATCGCCGCCAGCAGCGAAGGGCGAAGGGGATGGGTGGCGCGTGGCTGCGACAAACACACGTTTTGTATGTTTACCCCCGTGCTCGCTCGCAAGCAACGAATACAATACTACATACATCATTAACACGAGCAGCGCAAAGAAAGCAGTTGTTGCCGCGCATGACTGCTGCTTTGTCCGGAAAAGATGCCCGCCAATCGGCGAGCTCGACAAAGGCAACTAACGGCACCGATACGCTCAGCGAGTGCGTCCCAAAACCGATCCGGCTTCGCTCCAATGGCAGGGCGGCACTCACCGGGCGCCGCGCTAGCTCCCGCGCAAACACGCTACAGCTCCTGCTCGATCGTCCTCAACATCCAGTTGATGGCTCCGCAAAACTGCTCCATGGCCCTGATGGGCATATCCCTCGGCGAGCAGCATCTCACTCGTTCAAACCGAAGAGCATGTCCAAGCATGACCCATTCTTCGGTCTTAACAGTCTCCCTAACCCGGATCTCCGCCTCCTCCAGTTTAGACGGGTCCAACAGGACCTCGCTAAGCACCCTGAAAGCAAAGTCCGTGACGCTATGAAACTCGTCCGGGCATCCCTTGACGCCGCGCATGGCGTCCTTCGTGACAGCGGCGTGGTTGCGGCAGATGGCGTTGGCGGCCTGCTTACGGTGTTGGGCGCCCTCATGGCCATCGTTGAGCACGTGCTTGCTGCGGGCCGTCTCGACGGCCAGCGACACCGGGCTCCGCGTGCGCAGGAAGGACACCGGACCGATCTGCGGCGGCAGGGCGCCGATGTGGGTCCAGTCGTCGCTCTGCAGGTACGTGGCGGGCTCCCAGGCGTCCCACGCGGCAAACCAGCGGCGTAGGTTCGGGCGGCCGTCGGCTAGCTCCAGGTTGCGCCAGAACTTGAGAGAGGAGCGCGCGCGCTCGAAGATCGTGGCTGGGGAGGAAGGGGTGTTAGGATCAGGCGGGCATTGTTTGGAGAAGCAAAAAAAGCGAGGACAAAGGTGATGAGGACTTACAGAAATTGATGTCGACGAACGAGGGCTCCGGGCCCGGGTAAAAGAAGGAGCCCTCAAAGTCGCCGAGGCAGGTCTCGATGAGATCGAGGGTGTGGTTGACCGGTTCCAGGCCTCTCCCGAGGCTAGACATGGCGCCTCGCAGGGCACCGAGCCACGAGCCGGTGAAGACGCGCTCGAGGCGCATGTAGCGGTGAAAGGCCTGCATCATGTCGTTATCATCGACCGGAATCATCTGGCGGTACGGTGTCTGAAACGTGTCCTCCAGCAAGAACATGATATCCATGGACTCGGTGATGATCGTGCCGTCCAGCTGGATGACCGGGAGCAGGCCGGTCGGGACGATCTTGAGAAACTCGGCGGGCTTGGAGCCGTAGCAGCTCATGTTGACCTTCTTGACCATGTAGGGGACCTTCTTTGCCTCGAGCAGGAGCTGGACCTTGTGGCAGTAGGGGCACCAGCAGGCGTGGTCGCGGTAGAGGACGAGGCGGACGTCGGCGTCCTTCTGCGAGAAGAGGCGGAGCGACTCGCGCTCCTTGGTGGGCGAGATGAGGTTGGGGCCGTTAACAAAGTCGTCGGGGGAGGCGCGGGCCAACAGCTTTTCCCACGGCGCGGCGGGCACTGGCGCTGACACGGAGGGCTGCGCGGCGGTGGCCATGCTGCATGGCGCGCGGCGCGGGCGGCGGGCGGAGAGGGCGGGTGCGCGGCGCGGGCACGGCGTGACCAGGAGGAAGGAGGAGTGGACGAAGAGTGGCGCCGGCATTGAAGCGCTGGGCGGGCGCGGGGAGAGAAGAGGTGATGCGGGAGCGGGGGGCGGTGGGGGTGGAGTGGAGATGACGGAAGGCAGGGAGGCGATGCGAGGGCGGCGGGACGGGAAAACGATATTTTGGTTTTTCGGTTGTTTTTTTTGATGAGCGTGGCCACCAGTTGGGACGTGGACGGTCAGAGAGAGACCTCCGCGGGGGCGGTATGATCGAGAGGCGGAGTGCGGGCCGCGTAGCGGTGGTACTCGAGTACCGTTTCGTAGCGGCTGCAGCCAGTTTTATGCAGCAATTGTCACGAGATCGCGGCAGATAATAAGCTTGAACTAACGCACTCCACGGGATCCCATCTGCTTCTTTCATAGTTAGACGCCCTCAGGCAGATCAGTCTGTCCATCTTCCTGCCCCTTTTTCTTCTGCTGCCCCTTCTTCTGCTGCGCTTTCCACCACTCCTTCACCTGCATTCTCTTGTACACGTAGGTCACCATCACAATCCCTGTCGCAGAGACCTGCATCAAAGTATCCATTACGTTTATTGAAAAGAAAACGTATCAGAGCATACGCAGCTCTGATACGCTACCAGGCGGCCTAGCACAATCGCCGAAAACACCTGCGAGAAACAGGTTAAAAACCCGGAACAACAGCTGCCATACGTCTTTGTTCTTGTTGCGCACCTTCTTCTATCTGCGCACAAATTCCAACCGCAAGAGAAAAGACACTTGCCCTCCCTGTGCTGCCAACAGATAAATCCCGTTGACAAGTGCTGAAAATATCAGTGCATTGCGGGCAATGGAAACGTCAGACAAGAGAAATATCAAAACAGTAGCCGCCAGCGTATTGGAAAGGCGATATTGTACTTCGCAAAATATGATGGCGTTTACTAAAACCGAGAACGGCATGAAGGTGAGGTCGCCTTTGATGATGCCGCGAGAGAAGAACTCTGTGAGACCGATGTAGATACCGCGCGCTCCCATAATCATTTCAGCAATAGACATCACAATTAGGAATCGCGAAGAGATCAAGTTGCCTGTTGGCGTGCCGTACTCTGCTCTGCCTTTCCCCTCAAAACAGACTACAGTTCCTTTCTCTCTGCGAAGGTCCCCACTTCCGCTTTCCGCTGTTGCTCTCGCCGGCAATACACCGGGCACCGCAATCCCCTCACCTCCTCCTCGCTTCGCGCTCCTAAGCGAGGCAGAGGATTTATTCTAGGTCGCATCAGCCGGGGGCTCATAGAGTTGTAAATCTCCTCGTCGCATGATCTGCTATGTAGCATATTCACGTAAGAATCAACAGCTCTAGCAGCTCATTGGTACGGTGCTACATCAGTATCGCGGAAACGCTCCCGTACTGTGTCTTCAGAAACACAACCTAACCTTAGGTCACACACACATAGCCGGGCAGTAGTACAGTATGTAATATTGTGTGCTGTGCTCTGGCCTCCGGCGTTCGTTCGGGCCACTTGCCATCACCCGGTAGGGCATGGCATCATTGCCAAAGAGGTCCGACTTGATGAAGCGGATGGCGCCTTCGATGAACATATGGCTGAGAAGAATATACGGGAAGCGGCTGACGCACAGAAAGCGAAAGTAGAGAAGACGTCGCTCTGGCGGTATACCCCATCGCGGCGGGGTACCCCATCGCGGCGGGGTACGTTCCCTACGGGGGGAAGGTTTAGGTTCACTACGACTGTCGCAGCTGAGGGATCGGTCGTAGCTGATGGAGGTGGCCGGGGCAAGTGGGGCGCCGGGAGGGGTTGCGCGGGTGGTGGCGGTGGGTGGACTAGTGCTCCTTTGGAGGTGTTAATTGGGATAACTTGGTGTGCATGGGGCTCCTCTAGGGAGGAGGGAAAGCCTCAAGAGATGTCTGGATAAAAGTTTGCGGAGACGTTCCCTTCTGTGAAGAAGTGATGAAGACCGGAAAGTCGTCTACAGCCTCAGAGATCAGGACTGGTATTGAAGCAATATAGTTCATAGAAGCAATGGCGTAGCTTCTGCATGGTGTAAGAGTCCACACGTGTAGTTGTCGCTAGTCATTTACAGTGAACCCTCTCGATATGGATACGCTCGGTGGACGTAATCCGTATCCATTTGCGGAGGTTATTCACATACGGAGCCCGTATCATAACGGTGTCACGGTGACCTGCATCTCTCAGAATGTCAGTGCTTTACTTAAAAAATGTATTTATCGTCGTCTGGACTGTGCAATTCCCCTTCTTGGTACGCAGAGATATCGGGACGAAAACCATACTTTCCGTTGATGATGCGGGACATGACAGGTGGAGCAGGAGGTTTGGAAAGGGATAACTGTACTGAGGCCCACTTCGCAAGGGCGCTTTGTGACGTCTGCTCCTTGCTCTTTTTGCTCTGTTGGAACTCTGCACATATTTGTTGCTTTTGGGCGAGGTTAAGCTCAGAGCGCTTCATCGACGATTGTCGCTTGACGGGGGCAGATGGCTACGGTACTGACAACACGCAATGTTTGCGATCAGAGGAGATTTATTGGGGGAGGACCAACAGGAGTATATGCTAGAAAGATGTTTTTGTCGAGAATGATGATAATTGTGTGTTTCCCCAATGCTTCAGACCACTGTTCCAGTGCGCCTCAGGCCGTACAAGAATGTCACGGACGGGATCTTTACGCATATTGTAATGAGAGAAACGCCCCGTAAGGGGGCGTAGCTAGAAATACGGTAGCCAGCGGAGTCGGTGACTCGTTTGCGCTCAATTGAGACAGAGACAGACTGAAGAACGAGGGGCATACTTGTTGTTGACGGCGCAAAAGAGAGATTCACTGCAGCCTACAATCTATCAACGAAGGTACGTCAAAGAGTTACAATGACTAGAAGCAGGGGACGCAACTATCATGTCTGCAACAATCACAACCCGGTCCCATCATACTGCAATCTTCACCACTGTGACAAGGAATGTAGATCATAGGACAAAACGCTCGAACTTTTCCCTCGAGCGTCACCTTGCTTGCGTCAACGACAGGGGTCTCCTTCTTGGGGGTGGAAACCGCGATGGTGGAAGCGAGAAGAGCAGCAAGGATGAAAGCGAACATGAAAAGACGAGCCATGTTTTCGGATAGAGTCGGTGGATAAGAGTGGATGCAATTCGAGGTGAGAGAACTAAGATTGATTGGGAGGCGAGTACTTGATGTTTTAAAATACTTCGGCGACAGCAGCGCTCGGGTATAAATGCAGCAAAACTGGGTCCGTGTGAAAACCCATTCGCAGCCTTGCGGTTGTGATCAGATTTTATTACCATAGAATCATTGGCAGTAAGCGCTACTGTGCGAAGCATTGCATCAAGAGCACCGCGATTGGTTGGATGAATGGATTACCGTCGAAGCAGTTTTAAAAAACTGCTTCAACGAAACTTAGAGCATCTCCACCGGTTGAAGCAAATCAGTAAAATTATTTGACATGTGCTTACCTAAGCTTCGTTGAAGCAGTTTTTTAAAACTGCTTCAACGAACCTTACCTTCATGTGTTGTGTACTGCAACGTTTCTTGGATGCATTTTTTCTGGCTGGAGGGTAAAGTTTATACAGTATGATACAGGTGCTATTAGGTCTTTCTTGCAAAGACTCTCAAACTACGCAAAGACGGGGTACTGTACCTTCACTGTTCAGTTGTTGCTAGCAACTGGCACCAGTTGGGTACAGGATGATGCAGTTCGCCGACTTTCTAAAACTGGTTTTTGATTTGGAGGCGGACGACGAGTATCCTACGCAATGCTGGATTATTTTGGAGAATGAGCATTCTCAGCCGTCAGTGGGGTGCAGCTAGTGACGGGCCCAATGGCACATCCCGCGCAAGCCCTCCCGGGGCAGCGGGGGGCGAGACCGGTGTTTAGATTATGGGATCTCAAGCAAGGATGCCAACGTCCTTCGCTGGAAATCTGTGCGGCTTCCTCGACAAATTGGGCTTCTTTTCCTCCCAGCATTTTCACCGGTGCCCAGCCCGGGAAATACTGTTTGCAAAATAAATTCTCTCTTCAACATCAGCCAGTCGTCTGGAAATCAGAGACCGATGAGTGGGGGGTCAATTTTCGCTCGCGGGCGGTTGCAGCCCCACTGGTGCCTCTAAACGACAAGTGATTTGCCTCGTAGGAGGGCAGCCTTTTCGCAAAAATAAGCGCACTAAATCGCAAATTGGGAAAGTCTATTTGACAGTGCTCATTTAATGGATTTGCCCCCCTCAACAATGACATCTTGCAGACCATCGGGTTGGCAGCTTCGACTAACTGAGAGAGTCAGACTCTATTGGATTTTTAATTTCCAGTTGCCTTTTAACCTGAATATTTTCTCCGAATATGTAACGATGGAAAACGTTTCATGCATGCTAAAGGAAAACCTTCCATGCTGTGGTATGGGAGACGAAGCGCGACTTTTAGTTGGAAAAAGAAGAATACGCAGCTCTTTCTCTTGCTCGAGGGAGCGCGAGCATTTTGAGGTGGAGATGGGGTGAGGTTAACGTTGGCGCAGGGGGAATACGTGCGCGCAGCGGATTGGACGAGATGGCGGAAGCCAGAGATCGCTGCCGGGTACAATTGTACTTGTAGGTGGGACACGACTACTTCACTGTAGTAAAGATATTTTGGGGTTTTTAGTTGTTTTTTGAGGGGCGTGGCCATTGGATGGGATGTCGGGCCCGCGGTATGATCGAGGAAAGCAGAGCGACGTCACACCTCTGACAGGGACCGCCGGACACCCCAACACCCCAACATAAGGTTACACAGTGGAGCAGGTCTTGATGCAATCTGAGATCCGTCGCAGGGATTGCTGTTATGCAATAAGCCAATGGGGTCATTTCTAGCCCTTGTCGGCTCTATGAATCCCGAAAGAATACTGCTGTGCCGTTCGCTCTCGCCAGCCAGACCACACAGCGGATCTACTGACCCCAATCGATGTATGAGAACAGTCCATACCTGCTGCGTGAATAGTTTGCGTACTGTAACATTACCTTGTAAGTTGTGATCAAATTCCCCCCTCGAAAAATACACCAAGCACCTTTCAAGTCATGATATCTTGTGGCTTCTTCGACTGTTACGCACCTCTACAGCTTGTACGCAGTCAATATTGGTCTCAAGAGAATGAACCAACTCTGAAAGGCCACGGTGAGCAGCGCTTGTGCGCTCTTGTAAAGAACAAAAGACGTCTTGCTACCAAGGGTATTCGGAGGAATCAGGCGATGAGCTGACACAAGATTGCATCCTTGCTCTGATTCTCTCGTGATAAGGGCTTAGCCTGGCATCTTCTGTGAGCTTCAATCGATTATACAATGTTCAAACATATTATATATTCTCCATATTATCAGATGGTCAACGAAGTGGAAAAATCGCAGATATGCTTTCACCTCGCAATCTGGAAGCAGTTTAAGGTTTACGCAGAAAGAATTTCACAAATAATTGTGACAAATAGAGGTATGATAAGTAACATTGGCATTTCTGAATTTCACAAATTGAAGATATACCGAGAAGTGTTTACGCCAGGCATCAAGCACCATCACATGAGTATTATCACGTAGCCCAATTTTGCAGCCCATCCCACAGCTCCTCAAACCGCCATGTCCCTCGGACGACAAAAGGACCACAACCCCCGGGCCGTTTGCTCGCGCATCGCCGGGTAGACTTCCCTGCTACCCTCGATCTTCAAGAAAAAGGACTCAGACCCAAGCTCCGCCCTGTCATCAAACTTTATGTTAGCCGGTTTACTGCTCACATTACACAGCAGCTGAAATGATCGCGAGAAGCAAGTGTGTCGTTCACGCGAGATCAGCTTGACCTCCTTTGATGATCATCGATTTGACAACCTCTCTGAAGATGTGTTGCCGGCCCTGTTCCGATTCAAGCGAACCGAAATCATTCGAATTGTGCAATACGTGGCGTGGCCAGCAGAACAATTTCGGACACGCCGTAACCGCTACGGAACAAGCCCATTGTTAGTAACTTGCGTCATTCTGCGCCGTCTTGCTTCGGCGAACAGATGGAGAGACCTGGAAAGACTTTTTGCTCTGTACACACCGCATCTGTCAGAAATATTTTGGGAGGGGCTTTCTCAATTCATGTCGGTGCATGTTGATCTAGTCATGAGCAATCTACACACAAGTCCTTTTGGCGAACTCGTTTCCACGAGTATGCAGAAGCTGTGGGTATTACAAGTCAGGCGCTTGAGAATGTTTTTGCATTCATCGATGTAGCGAACTTGGCTGTAGCTCGACCAAGTGGCCTGGACATCGATCAGCGTGTTGCTTATGGCGGGCATAATCGGAGAGACGCTATCAAATTTCAGGCCTGAACTACACCGTGCTGTTTCGCTATGCATCTGTCTGGTCCTTTAGAGGGCCGGCGTCACGATTGAACTATGTATATGCAAAGCGGGCTTCACTCTACACTACAAGAAGCCTTTTTCCATCTTAACCGGCAGTTTGTGGCCTATGGGGACTCTGGTTACAGCTCAAGAGTATTTTTGTTCGTGCCCTTTTCGGCATCTACTCTCACATTAGGACAGAGAGCCTTTAACAAGGCCATGTCGAAGTCTCGCCTGACGGTTGAGTGATATTTTAGGGAACTTAAGAGGTACTGGACGTTTGTGGACTACAATCATATGATGAAATTGAAGGAAAGAGCGGTGGGGATGTTGTATATCGCAGCTGTTCTTCTCACCAACGCCCGTAACTGCCTTCACCCAAATGCTATTTTGCAATATTTTCACTGCGCGCCTCCTGCCTTTGAGGAGTACATGATCCACTGGGATGATGCCTGAGCCACAGAGTGCAGCGCCGGAGGGCTTTCCCCCCTTTGGGGGACACCGCCCCTATGGAATGGGGGAGCAATACGTGTCCGTGACGTCGGCGTTCTGGCGTTTGCGCATCGACCGCATGTCAGACAACCGGATCGACGTTGGAGTCGCCATGCCGTAAGCTTTTCGCTTCGCCACGGCCGAAAAATGGTCATCGTGGAGCCTCGATTGATTTGGAAGATTGTTGCTCGCGGGAGAGAGGCTCACTTACTGCCTCCATGGAGACAGATGCACGAAGGGGGTGTGAGGGGCGTGCTGTATGACGTGGAGGGGTGGCGGCTGTCGTTCTTGAACAATGGGGCGTGTAGGGGCGATGTGGACGTGCACGGCTGGGGTGAAGGCAGGGTGTTCTTGGGGCCTGTAGCATAAACACCCCCAAGGGAGAGGGGTGTATGCACAGCTCGACGTAGACCCCGTCCGAACGGGAAGACGGGGGTGAAGCGGGACACCAGCTAACGGCACCGGGTAGCGGGCCCGGGTAACGTAGTAGAGCGGGAACGGGGAGGACGCCGGTACGCACGAGCGGTTCGACGCCTCGACGCCCCGGCGCGGTACTGGGTGACGATCCAGTACCGACGGGCGGAAGCGGAGCCGGCTCGTGGGCGTACCGCGCGCGTCTTCAACCCGCGCTCGGTGCCGCTCTAAGGTAGTTAGCGAACGCTTTCTTAGAATAAGCGCGAAGTCGGACCTTGACGGTCGGTGGGTGACAAGTCCGTGCTTGTCCCCCTCCGCCGCCGTCGGTCCGCTCCATATTTAATATACAAAACAATCTATCATAACACTACAGTACCGAGGTACTGTAGTGGGCTACTGTAGTGCAGGTCGGCCTGCACTGTAATACTGTCAGCTATGTCGAGGCTGACAGTACACGTATTACCCGTGGTGCGTGCGCGCTTCGTTCGCGCGTGGTACACGTGTGCACGTGTATGCGCGTGTCCGTTGTCCCCGTGGTGTACACGTGGACACGCGTGGTTGTACTGTAGAGCGTCGAGCTCTACAGTAGGGGATCCTGTTGTTGATCCAATCTAACTAAAAAGCCCCCAGGGGGGGGTTATACTACACGGCCCCCCCCACAAGTGTGAACGTCCGCGTTCACATGTGCTTGTAGGGTGACTCGTGCTTCCTTCCCAGACTCGATCCTCGTTTCCCTATCGCCCCCCCCCCGCCTGCGTTCGTTCCTCACTTCCTCGTGCGTCGTGCTCTCCGTTCTTGTTCACCCCTTCCGTTGGCTGTCGTCCTGTCCGGGGCGACGATCGCGTACAAGGCGCTTCG